AAAAAAAAAAGCTAACTTGTCTGCATTATTTTTCTACCAATCTTTGAGAAAAAGCCTCCCAGAGAAAACAGTGTGTCTAAGGTATAGACATGAGTCAGGCCCAGACTCTTAAGACACTCAAGTTCATTTAGAATATCAAAGGAAGGATGGCTGATGAGTTGGTGGCACATCAGAGGATCTCTAGAGCGGATAACACGCACTGATTGCCTTGAATGGAAGATAAAAGGCAAAAAATACACCAGTGGAACCATGAAGTAGACTAGACTCTCTTCCACTTTTACCTTCCCACCTGTATCTCTGGCTTTGTCCACTTTCTTTATGGCCTCTGTAATGTTTACCTTGAATGACTCCAACACTGTGAATCTGGCTATTAAGTGTTTGTCATGCCTGGTGAGTGAATCACTATTGTCTTTGTTGGTGTGCTGTGTTAAGAACCTGTGAGTGACTTCGAGTTGGTCACAGTGAAGCTGAACAGACTTGAGTGCATTTTGCAAATCTTCTAGAGCTCGATTGATGCAGTCTGGACTCTGACTCCTGTTTTGCTGCTTCAAAGATGTAAGAGCACGGTTGTAATATGCAATAGCTCCCCAACAGTGATCCTTCTGAATGGCTTTAGTGTACATGTTGATGCTCTCTTCAAACTTCCCCTTTTCACGCAGGTCATTACCAAAGCTAATGTAGTGGTAGAGGTTTGATGATGGTGATTCTCTCTGTCTGAGTTTCTGCCTTGCTGTGTCCAGATCTGTTTTCAGTCTACTTTTTAACTCTTCAGTGGAATCTTCTGCATTAAAACTCATTAGTAGCCACACACCCCAAAACTCATTCAGAGCAGACAAATCTGATGTCTCTGGCTTGTTATTGCTGCTTGTGTACAGATCATCCAGTACATCCAGATAATCATTGAAGAGTTCTTCCTTCTTCTTCATGTCTGGGATCTGAAACTCCAAGTAGCTTGATAGCTCATCAGCCACTGAGCGGTCTCTGACCTGTTTAATTATCTTTACTTCCTGCTGTGATGCTCCAGTCAAAATATCCTTCAGTGTTGAAGTCATTTCTGCAGATCCTTCATTATGGTTGCTTTGTTGATATGACCTTAACTGCATCACAAACAGAAGTTGTTTAAGTGGAGTAACATCTGTTAGATTTCTGAATAAAGAAAGAAGTTTCACTCTTAAAACCATTAATTGGAGCAACTCTGAAAGATGACTCAAACAGACAATGAGCTGAGCAGACCCTGGAGATCCTTGTCTAGCAGTGCGGCCGAAAGCCTGCGCCTCTACACGAGCATTCGTGGGCAGGAAGGTCTGCAAAACAAACAAACCTCCAGCTTCCTTTACTGTGTCAGAAACCTGAAGGTCTGTTCCACGGCCAGCGAGGTTTGTTGCTATGATCACTTCTCCTGCTTCAAGCTCCTTGGAAATGATCACACTGTTGTCCATGTTGTTGTTTATATAAAGATTTTTGTTCTGGACTCTGTCTCCTAGATTGCGATAAATCATTTTTGCTCGTCTGATGGTTTCACAGATGATGAGCACAGCTCTAGGATCCCTGTATGATGTAGGACTGGTTTGTGCAATGACAGCATCACAGATTTTTTCAGTCCAGTCTTCTTCGTCCATGAGAACCACACCTTCAACCTCAAACAGCTTTCTACGTTTGAATGAAGGTATCTGACAGGTTTTGATACCATCATAGATTTTTTGTAAAGTCTCAATCTCCTCTTTTTGGCCAAGAGTTCCAGACATCCCGTAGATCTGACTTCCAAACTGGTTTTTGTACTTTTGAAGCAAGCCCACATTAGACATGTAGTTTGTGATGGCTGTCATGTCAGTCATCTTTGACTCATGTTTCATTTCAATAAACTGTTGCAGTCCATCAGTCCACTTCATGTAGTTTTCAACAACCCCTGTGCAGCTGTAGTCCACAGGCACGATTCCATGTTTCTCCATCACATATTCATGGTCCTCTGTCATGACTTGAGCTTTAAATGCATTTTCAATCCAGACGTTTAGTTTAGATTTGACCAGCTCTGAGAAGAAGCCTGGGATGTAGCAGCTGCTTTTAGCTTGGTTAAGTTCACATGGTGTAAAATAAATTGATCTC